GGGGTGCCAGAGCAGCGAACAGTTTTGACTGGGCTGAGCGGGAACTATGCTTCCGCAGAGGAAGGGAAGCCAGCAGGCCAGAGGTGGATGAACGCAATACCCTCGTTTGGGTGTAGGGACTGATCAGAGCCTGAAGGTACGGAGGTGCCGTTCCCCTCACAGCTCCATAGGCAAGCACCATGGTCTTGTAACAGATGCGAGCTTCAACTGGAAGCCAGTGGAGTGTGCGGAGGAGCGGGGTGACGTGAGAGAACTTTGGAAGGTTGAACACCAGACGGGCTGCGGCATTCTGGATGAGTTGTAGGGGTTTAATGGCACAGGCAGGGAGCCCGGCCAACAGCGAGTTGCAGTAATCCAGACGGGAGATGACAAGTGCCTGGATTAGGACCTGTGCCGCTTCCTGTGTAAGGCAGGGTCGTACTCTCCGAATGTTGTAGAGCATGAACCTACAGGATCGGGTCACCGCCTTGATGTTAGCGGAGAACGACAGGGTGTTGTCCAGGGTCACGCCAAGGCTCTTCACACTCTGGGAGGAGGACACAACGGAGTTGTCAACCGTGATGGCGAGATCATGGAACGGGCAGTCCTTCCCCGGGAGGAAGAGCAGCTCCGTCTTGCCAAGGTTCAGCTTGAGGTGGTGATCCGTCATCCATACTGATATGTCTGCCAGACATGCAGAGATGCGATTCGCCACCTGGTTATCAGAAGGGGGAAAGGAGAAGATTAGTTGTGTATCGTCAGCGTAGCAATGATAGGAGAGGCCATGTGAGGATATGACAGAGCCAAGTGACTTGGTGTATAGCGAGAATAGGAGAGGGCCTAGAACTGAGCCCTGGGGGACACCAGTGGTGAGAGCACGTGGTGCGGAGACAGCTTCTCGCCACGCCACTTGGTAGGAGCGACCGGTCAGGTAGGACGCAATCCAAGAGTGAGCCGCGCCGGAGATGCCCAGCTCGGAGAGGGTGGAGAGGAGGATCTGATGGTTCACAGTATCAAAGGCAGCAGACAGGTCTAGAAGGACAAGAGCAGAGGAGAGAGAGTTAGCTTTAGCAGTGCGGAGAGCCTCCGTGACACAGAGAAGAGCAGTCTCAGTTGAATGACCAGTCTTGAAACCTGACTGGTTTGGATCAAGAAGGTAATTCTGAGAGAGATAGCAAGAGAGTTGGCTAAAGACGGCACGCTCAATAGTTTTGGAAAGAAAAAAAAGAAGGGATACTGGTCTCTAGTTGTTGACATCACAGGGATCGAGTGTTGGTTTTTTGAGAAGGGGTGCAACTCTCGCTCTCTTGAAGACAGAAGGGACATAGCCAGCGGTCAAGGATGAGTTGATCAGCGAGGTGAGGTAGGGGAGAAGGTCACCAGAGATGGTCTGGAGAAGAGAGGAGGGGATAGGGTCAAGCGGGCAGGTTGTTGGGCGGCCTGCAGTCACAAGTCGCAAGATTTTATCTGGAGAGAGAGGGGAGAAAGAAGTCAAAGCATAGGGTAGGGCAGTGTGAGCAGGACCAGCAGTGTCATTTGACTTAACAAACGAGGATCGGATGTCGTCAACCTTCTTTTCAAAGTGGTTGACGAAGTCATCCACAGAGAGGGAGGAGGGGGGGGGGGGGGGGGGGGAGGATTCAGCAGGGAGGAGAATGTGGCAAAGAGCTTCCTAGGGTTAGAGGCAGATGCTTGGAATTTAGAGTGGTAGAAAGTGGCCTTAGCAGCAGAAACAGATGAAGAAAATGTAGAGAGGAGGGAGTGAAAAGATGCCAGGTCCGCAGGGAGTCTAGTTTTCTTCCATTTCCGCTCAGCTGCCCGGAGCTCTGTTCTGTGAGCTCGCAATGAGTCATCAAGCCACGGAGCTGGAGGGGAGGACCGAGCCGGCCGGGAGGATAGGGGACATAGAGAGTCAAAGGATGCAGAAAGGGAGGAGAGGAGGGTTGAGGAGGCAGAATCAGGAGATTGGAGGGAGAAGGATTGAGCAGAGGGAAGAGATGATAGGATGGAAGAGGAGAGAGTAGCGGGAGAGAGAGAGCGAAGGTTGCGGCGGCGCATTACCATCTGTGTAGGGGCAGAGTGAGTAGTGTTGGAGGAGAGCGAGAGAGAAAAGGATACAAAGTAGTGGTCGGAGACATGGAGGGGAGTTGCAGTGAGATTAGTAGAAGAACAGCATCTAGTAAAGATAAGGTCAAGCGTATTGCCTGCCTTGTGAGTAGGGGGGGACGGTGAGAGGGTGAGGTCAAAAGAGGAGAGGAGTGGAAAGAAGGAGGCAGAGAGAAATTAGTCAAATGTAGACGTAGGGAGGTTGAAATCCCCCAGAACTGTGAGGGGTGAGCCATCCTCAGGAAAGGAACTTATCAAGGCGTCAAGCTCATTGATGAACTCTCCAAGGGAACCTGGAGGGCGATAGATGACAAGGATATTAAGCTTAAATGGGCTAGTGACTGTGACAGCATGGAATTCAAATGAGGAGATTGACAGATGGGTTAGGGGAAAAATTGAGAATGTCCACTTGGGAGAGATGAGGATTCCTGTGCCACCACCCCGCTGACCAGATGCTCTCGGGGTATGCGAGAACACATGGTCAGACGAGGAGAGAGCAGTAGGAGTAGCAGTGTTTTCAGTGGTAATCCATGTTTCCGTCAGCGCCAAGAAGTCGAGGGACTGGAGGGTAGCATAGGCTGGGATGAACTCTGCCTTGTTGGCAGCAGTACATGACTATTTACATACTCTGCTTACTGCTATAATCAGTTTAATATCGAATTATTAGTGTGCATGTAAACGTACTTAATGTGTATGCTAATAATCATGTTTTCATCGTCAAATTACACTGCTTTGATGATGTGTGATATTTCGCCCATTAATCGAGTGCATCTGTCTAAACAGTTTAGTACTGTCTAAGTAGCCTATAGCCTACTAAATGTTATATTACATGATTATAACATGTTTATAAGTGGTTATCATGCATGAGGACATAATACTGTAATTGTAATCAGATGTGCTGTGTTGGGGATGTAATTAATATGACGATAATCAGCCACAAGGATAGAATAGGATAGAATAACTTTATAAACTCAATTGAATGGAGATTAACTCTTCAGTAGCAATATTTTATTCAAACATATTCTGAATACACACACACACACACATTGATCAAAAGGGTGGATTTATGCATTAATCAACATAGGTTCTTAACAACGCAATTCATACTAGTTCCCGAAACATATATTATGGTGGAAATGTTAGCAGTAGCCTAGCCTACATTGTGTATGGAAGAATAATTAACTAGAATAATTATATGTTTACATTCTAGAACAAGAGTTCATAACATTTTATTTTGCATTCAAACATGTTCATATAAAACATTAATAAACAACATATTTCAAACACCCACAATCATAGTAATATTTTTTTTGCAATAAAAAAACCACATTTTAAACTAAAGATAATAACATCAAAAAGAATACATGTCTGTTACAAAATCATGGAAGTAGATTATAACATTTAAAATATTGCCTTCAGTAGATTACTTCTCTTAGCTTATTCAACATCGCATAGATCAGGGGTTTTCAAACTTGGGTCCGAGGCCATCGTGGATACTATTGTTAAATCTCTGCGTCCAGTATGAAGGACGTTAGAGGTCATTTCACGAGCCAATGCTAACTACCGTTAGCACAATGACTGGAAGTCTACAGGAACCAATTAGCATGCTAGCTTGTATGCTACCATCTGACTCTGGGGAAGTAGATAAATGGCTTCATTGCCAAAATCTCGAACTATCCCTTTAATATGGAGCTAATTACCAGGTTTTTTGTATAGAAAATTCTTAGGTGGGTTGGAAAACAGTTTCAACTTAAACTATCAAAACCAGATAGAAAGCATGCAGAAAAGATATTGAACTATGTATAGTTTGAAGTAATACCAGCTTTGAGAACTAACAATCAAATAAAAGCTAGACAGTCAGGGAGAATCGAAAATTCCAGGGCACATGCACATTGATTTAATAATGTTTGAGCAGAGGAATACAGCGTTAGCCACGGCAAAATGCATAGAATTGTTGGAAATTATCTTCAAATCTGCTAAATGTTCTCTCAACTCAATGGAAAAATATGTAGAATTGCAGAAAATTAGCTTTACAACAGCAACATTTTCTCTCTGCTGCCAAGACACCTTTCTAGCTAATAGTCTATGTTAGAGTTTACGCTTCCAATAAACTGTAGGGAGGTCAAAATTATGAAACAGTACCAAATCTATTCATTTTAAAAATGATTAACATTGATTGACAAGACAATCAATTATTTATTTATTTTTGCTAAAAAATGATGGGGGTCCCGGGGTTGCCGGTTTGCCTGGGCGGGGGCCCCTGGGCAAGAAAAGTTTGAAATCCCTTGCCGTAGATAACATCCCAACATACAATAAATAATATATTAAGACAAAGTAAGGATGTCCATAATATTTCTTAAACCAAGATTGAAGTTAATACAATTAAAACTCTACATTTAATATTATAGTTTAGTCCGTTTTTTCTAACCTCACACATTTGGTACAAAAAAGGAAATACTCAAAATTAACTTAAGAATTTTTGCACAGACATGGTTCATAAAGTTGAGAATCGTATATTTATACCTTTCTTAAATTCCATTGTGGCCTTATGGGTTAAATTCCATTGTGGCCAAATTCCATTGTGGGTTATAGAAATTGATAACAGAGATGTTTTTCTATTGAATAACACTGGACCCACAGTGTATATTGACAGGGCATTGTAGGGCTTTTGAAAAAATGACGTCTAATGAACACCTCAACATGATGTTGGGGTCCCTTGGGTATTAGGGGTCATATTAAGATCCAAAATGACACCCTATTCCCTATATGGTGCACTACTTTTGACCAAGGCCCCAACGCACTATACTGTATATTTCAGACACAGCCCAAGATCTTTATCAGAATGGCCTCCTTGTGAGAAACAGTGGATGATATGAAATGCATTATTCTGGCCCTGCAGGTGTTGCTGTTGTTGCTCATGCATAGCCCACACCATTGGCTTCTATGCCCCCTTTCGGTTTGAAACCTTTCAACTGTTCAAGAAACCCTGGGTTTGGGCACGTGGCCGGCCGGGCCGATTTCACCAAGGCAAACGCGTCATCGAAAGGCTTTCCTTCCCTGGACATCAGGTATCCAATGATGACCGAGGCCGACCTCGAGACTCCGGAATTGCAGTGAACCAACACAACTCCTTTCTGAGGGAGAAGACGAGAGAAACAAGCCTTATTTTAGTAGAAGGAACCCAAACACACTTCAGCCCAGCTTGAACAAAAAAGGGAATGAGGTGGTCAACTGAGGGACTTAATAATAATCAAAAAAACGCGTTCCATACTCCAGGAAACCTGTTGAAGTGTCCTGGGGTAAGGAACGTTTTGGGGGATTATGATGCCTTATGTCCGTTTAGTGCTATCCAGTCCAAAAGCATGAGACATGATGTGCTTAGCTGCTTTAAAATTGAATCCCATGTCTTCAATTCACACAGCCCCAGTAACACAAGAGCAATTACATTGTCCTGCACCTCATGGTAATCTAATAAAATACTATTATGCTAATCACACATAATGGGAAAATTACAAGCTGTAAGGTGATAGAATTATTCTCCCACTTAGCTAAAAGCAACATGGACGGTTTGATTAGCCAGTTGGAGTTACCCCTGCATGGTATCACAGGTTACATAGGGAAGTAAAAAGATCCACTAACCTCCATTCAACAGAGAGTGGAAACTTATTTCCAACAGGCCAAGTCATTGTAATCATAAACCTTTGGTGAATTTGCAACATGTGGCAGTGTCAGGTTCTTGGGTGATCAGCACAGCGATTTGGTAAAAGGTTGTATAGCAAACAAAGGGCCGCTAGTGATATGATCTTTCTACAACAGGCTAAATTATACATGGTGAAAACTCAGCCATGTATTATTCACTACAGTGTGGATATAGAGGTAGGGAGGATACCTAAATACTTAGATGTAGGGAGGCTTTGCATTGGCTCAGTGCTGTCCAGCATCAGATATATGCCAGGTAATAAACTTGAACACTCAAGGAAATTACTAATAAAGTAAAGTCATTTTACCTATGTACTGTATACAGTACAGAGATGATCAAATCAAATCAAATTGTATTTGTCACATGCGCCGAATACAACAGGTGTAGACCTTACTGTGAAATGCTTACTTACAAGCCCTTAACCAACTAACTGTAAGTCGCTCTGGATAAGAGCGTCTGCTAAATGACTAAAATGTAAATGTAAGAAATAGAGTTAAGAAAATATTTACTAAATAAACTAAAGTAAAAAATAAAATAACAATAACGAGGCTATATACAGGGGGTACCGGTACCTAGTCAATGTGCGGGGGTACAGGTTAGTCGAGGTAATTTGTACATGTAGGTAGGGTTAAAGTGACTATGCATAGTTTCTCCTTGATATAAAACATCAGATTATTGATGTATGCAGCTTTCTTTACAACTACCACATCATGGAGACAGGTATCAATCATAAAAGTTAGCAAGTGGAAATAACTTTCATGATGTGTCACCTTTCATGATGCGTAGGAATGTTGAAACTGTCAGGTAAGATGAATGCAGTGAAAGATATGGTATTAAAGCATAAAAAGTGAAAAGGAAAAGGAAACTGGATATTGCAGCCCCAATTAGCCTACATTAGCCTACAACGTTGTGAAAACACACACAACTTACCTCTGCATTTGTTTGGTCTATGAATTTTGAGCACTCTTGGAAATAGGATGTTATGTCAGTATCAGGAACATCCAGAATGCTCAGTGTTTTATAAATGAACAGGTCTGGAAATGCGTTTTCAACACCATAGGCTACATTTAATATGTGGGACACCTGAAATGGAAGAAGAACATCTATGAAACACCAAAACAAGACAGAAAAATATATAAAGTATAAAGCTTATCTCTATTACATAAAACAATACCTTATATTTTCTCAAAGTGCCAAAGTCATGTGCAGCATCTTGTGAGCCTACAACAAGAAAAAACAACCATCAAATTGTGAGCCTGTGAGAAATTGTTTTAAATGGAAATATCTATAACTGAGCATAGATATTTGTATTATATTTTCTTCAGTAATGATAAAGAAAAACAAAAGTTCAGAAACATGAGCTTAAACTGCCTATAGGGAAAAAGTGTATGTGTTTACATGCAATAATCCAGTAGACTCAGAGTCTCAGAGAAAACAAACTGAAAATGTAAAGCCTCATATCACACTGACAGCTACAGTATGTGTGTCTGTGTAGGCACCTGTCAAATATCCCCTGTCAATAATAGACATCTCATCGACATCCACTCACCTAATAGTAAATAAGGTTTAATAACTCCAACTTGTACGTCCCAGCTGTTGTCCTGTACATAGCCGCATGCTGTCTCAGGCTGAGTTTGATCCTCTACAACATGTATTGTCGACCCTTTCCATGTCTCAATAATCCTCCTGCCACTCAACGTCGTCACGCGGGTGCATTGCTTTCTCAAATTGGTCTTGGAAAATGTCTTGATTTCCTGGGCAAGAGACTGCATCACCTTTGTCTTCTCAAAACAAAGCAAAGGAGACTAAAATAATCCTATGTTAGATTGGTAGGGTGTCAGACCAGCCTAGGCTACTCCATTGGGTGTAATGTGAACAGTGCCTAGCTCCTGGTTCAAATGGATTTCTGCATGTTTATGGGCAGGTTTTGTCACTCAGCCTATATGGGGGACCAGAGTATTTTTTCTAGGCGTCACAGATGTCACTATCACATGATGCCATCATGAAGTGAGTGTGTGTGTTTTGTGTGTGTGTGTGTGTGTGTGTGTGTGTGTGTGTGTGTGTGTGTGTGTGTGTGTGTGTGTGTGTGTGTGTGTGTGTGTGTGTGTGTGTGTGTGTGTGTGTGTGTGTGTGTGTGTGTGTGTGTGTGTGTGTGTGTGTGTGTGTGCCATAGGCTATTCAGTTTGGCTGGTGCAGTGGTATAGTATTTCAAAGTCTATTTTACATGCCGTCATCATAATGTTCAAACACAACTGAGGATTGACCTAAAGGGCTTGCCCATATTTGCCCATATGAAGTTTTACACATGCACAGTCTTTGTGTTTAAATAATGTATTTAAGAATTGAATATAATATATTTAGTAAATTAAAAGTCCTCATACAATTTAACACTTATGACAATGACCACCGCAAGAATGCAAGGAATGCATGGGGGATGTACTGGTTTAGGATTTTGATGTAAAATATTCACACTGAGACATCCAGCCACACTTTATGGTTGCCTTTTAATGTAGGCCTTCAATGTAGGCTGAAATACTTGAGAACTATTTTGTCGTGGGTGTAGCCTCCTACATATAGGCTCATGTTCCTTCCCTATAATAAAATGCTGGTCACGTGACGTGCCTTTGGATTGCAGGAAACAGCCTGTCAGCCTCGTTTTCGTCAGATAGGACAACACCTAGGAAAAACCGAGACGGGAGAGAGGAGTGGGGATTGGCGAAACCGCTCAACCCGCAGAATGGGCGAATTGTAACATTGTAGCACTGGAGTGTCACTATTTTCACAACAATCAAAAAGCGGGAGAAATTCTACAACAATTATTCTACAAGAATCAGTAGCTATGTCGGCAACACTGTCGCGTGGCTCGCTCCAACCTGGCCAGCAAAAGCTGGCCGAGAAATTTACCATTCTGAACGACAGGGGTATCGGAATGCTCACTCGCATCTATAATATCAAGAAGGTAAGGTATCAGTGTAATTCTTAGGTCGAATAATAAATTGTACTACATTCAAGAGAAATGAAAGATCAAACCGCCCCAAAATCATCTGTGATGTATGGCAGAAACCTTTATTTTGAAACCCCAAGCATGACAGCCGTAGAATGCAAGTCAAGGCCCTCTTGAAAATGTGTTGCAGATAAGCTATTTGGCTAGCCAAGCCCACTCATCAATTGGACAAATAAATCACTGTTTTCTGAGATTGGTCTATTTCAAACTTCGTGTAAAAATAATAATAATTAATCGGCTACTGAAAGCTATCGTTCACTGGCTTGAAATAAAATAGTATCTCACTGAAATAGCCTACTAATGTAGCTACATGCCTAGCTATGCAATAATTTTTGTGCTTGATGGCTAGCTATCTACATAGTTTCTCCTGCATACTTGTATAAAGCACCACAATATTAGTCAAATAAATTGACAAAGGAGTGCTTTTCTAGATTCCTTAGCCAATTCTAAGATTGAAGTCGGAGATCAATATAATGGGAACACATTTATAATTAGTCAGATTAGCAGTACCATCTGACAGACACATATTGGCACATCATGACTGTAGCATTCTACTTACCAACCAATGGCACAGCAGTATCTACAGTTGGTATACATGTATGTTATATGGTTGTTATGCAGTTGTTATAAATGCCTGATGCACCGGACCACATATTGGTCCTGGTTTGAAAAACACACATTTTCCTGGGATAGAAGGGAGAAGTATCTTAAAGAAGGCACAGTTTTAGAGATCATTATGATTTGTTTATGACACTTACTCATAGTGGGGAGGAAGTGTGAAAGTGGGGACATTGTGATAGACCGATTCCATACTAGGGCCACTTTCCTGGACACAAATTAAGACTAGTCCTGGACTAAAAAACATGTTAAATTAAAGTGCTTTTTAGACCAAGACTCTTAATCCGTGTCTGGGAAATTGGCCCATGATGTTTAATTTACTAATTGTAAAACCCTATAGAGAATACCACTCTTAGTAATGTTATTACTAGTGTATTAGTATTCACTATTCATTGATAAAAAAAAAAATCATCAGAAGTTATAGTGGCTGCAGCGAACCTCTTATGTTACTAGCTCCTAATGATGCAGTAAAATGTCAAAAAAATGTCAAAGTACACAAATAATTAAAACATTTTTAAAAGTTACAAAAAACAGCAAGCAATCAAGAACGTCGGGACGAATCCAATTAACAGCTCAAATAGCACTGTAACAGTGATAAAAATGCAATTGATACGTATGTACACCGGAATAATTTACACAGGATATACTAAGAATGATATGTACAGCAGTAGATATATTAGAGTGAGCTATGTCAAGAATCCAGTATATAAATACATATGTGGTTTGTATAAACAGTGTAACTAAATACAAAGTACAGTAGTATAAATATTAGAATGAGCTATGTCGGGAATACAGTATTTAAATACTCAGTGTGAAACGGGAAGTGTCCAGTGGTTCAATGTCTCTATGACATGGGACAGCAGCCATCATGAAGCCTGTGTGTGTGAGTGTGTGTGTGAGAGAGAGTATGAGGTGTGTGTGAGAGAGTATGAGGTGTGTGTGATAGCTTGTGTGTTTTGTGTGAATGAGTGTGCATCACCTGGTAGATGGCTAGTGATGTCTGATGGCCTGGTAATAGAAGCTGTTTCTTAGTCTCTGTCTTGGCTCTGATGCACCTGTACTGACTCCATCTGCTAGACGGTAGACAGGTAAACAGTCCGTGGCATGGGTGACTGATATATTACTTATTCATAGTGGGGGCTGGCGAGGTGTATCATGAAAGGCAGATTCCATACTAGACGTTAAGCTTGGGCGATATACCATTTATAACGTATACCGGGGTATTTCGAAATACCAACGTAATGATTTTCAATACCATTAAAACAGCAGCAGCTCGCAGGGGTGCGTGCTACGCCACTGTTTATAACTATAAGTATAACTATATGAAATCTAAGATGTGTCAAATAAATTATATCCAGCTCAGGGCTATGCATTTGGTTTGCTAACTTGCTAGCTAAGTGGCTAGATGTCATGATCAAGCTTCTTGGTTACAGCAGACATTCAATCCCCTCCTGGATCAAGATCCCTGCTGCCTGAATTGTTTTGTGCGGCCCTTGTGTGCACTTCCGGTAATGCCGTATACCCTGGTATGATACAGAAACGGTATGAAAATCTGGGTACCACCCAACACTACTAGACGTTTCAGTCAGTGTAACAGAGAAGAGCATTCTTAGAGTGTAGCTGTCCATTTTAATGGCTTTGATACAGTGACAGTCAGTCCTTTAATGATGAGAGAGAGTACTGTGGATGTGTCCCAAATGGCACCATATTCCTTATATAGTACACTACTTTTGACCAGGGTAGTGCACTACATAGGGAATAGGGTGCCATTTGGGACTTCGACTGGGTATCAGAGATGCTTTGCCGACTTTGGGAAAATGGCAGCAGATAAAAGAAAGCTGGAGGCTGTCCAGCGTGTAGCTGAATGGAGGCTAGTGGAGAATCATGCCTCTCTGCCTTGACTGTCTGTCTGCTAGCACCCTCCAGCCAACCAACCCTTGTGATGAGGGCCTATCCTCCCTAGTAGGCCTAGCCCTTTATAAGTAACCACACAATCATCTTCTGTGTCTCACTCCCTCCAAACTCTCAATTAAAGTTAGATGTGATAGAAAGATTAGCATAAAAACATTATGCAGATACAGAATTCAGAAGAAAAAAACTTACCTCAGGACACAAGATGACTATCATGATGACCACAAGATACAGGATTGTCACAACACGCAAGAGCTGAGTTGTGTGATGATTTTGTCACTCTCGGTTGCAGTCAATTTGTGAATAATATTCAGCCTATTACTCATATATTTCCATTTATATACCTCAATCTATATGTTCAGCATGACACAATAGGCTACATGCCAAAGGATTTATACCCATGGTACATTTCTTGTTTTATTCAGAAAATATACTGTACTTATTGAAACTGTGGCGGCATTTGATGCTCAGATATGAACAGATTGAACTAACAGATCTGTTGCTTGGCAACTGGTAGGCATTGATACTAGCTGGCAGAAGCATTTAGGAAGAATCTCAGATGTCTTCTACTTCATCTGTGATTGTAGGCTAATGTGATTGTAGTCTGGTGCAAAGGCCTACCTCAGTAAATAAAACAACTGTACACTTCTGCACAGGCCTACTAAATTAGTAGGCTTGCAGTAGGCCTACGGCACACAGGCCTACCACAGGCCTACCTCATAGGCCTACTGCTCACGTTTACTGCCCATTCCTACTGCACACGCCTTCTAAGCATTTCACTGTTAGTCCACACCTGTTGTTTACGAAGAATGTGACAAATACAATTTAATTTGATTTAATACTACTACCACAGGTGTACCCCATTACTGTAACCTACTGCACAAGTCTACTAGGCCTACCTCAGTAAATCAAACTGCTTAGACCAGAAGCTTTATCTAACACAGTTAAACAGACAATTCATCCAAAATAGAGATCTATATTATTTTGTTGATACCCACTCAACAAGTAACATGTGAATCTGAAGATTCAGTGGCCAACAATATGGGATTATGTACCAAGAAGAGTTTATAGTTTAGCATTAGCATTGTTGACAGCAAAACAATGAGACCCCTGATATGACAGCTGGCTGCAAGCGGGACACTACTGTCTGGGCCAGTAGTATTGCTCTTTATATTGATGTAACTTACACAACCGCCTGCCTCCCATGATAATATTTCTGATAATATTTCTGTCACCAGT